AAAGTTTCATCGCATGCCGAGCCCTGTTACTATATATATTATATATATAATATTATATAATATTGTATGTGTATTATACATATATGTATTTTTAATACATATATGGTATATAATAAAGTTATCTTCTCTCTCTTGCTCTCTCTCTCGCGCGTGTGGTGTGTATATGTGTGTGGAGAGAGAAGGGGAGAGGAAAATGATTTTATCATACACAATACGTGCGTATTCAATAAAATAATATAACAGATCTATCCACATTTTTACATAGAAAATGCACTCTGAGCAGACTTATCAGGAACTTTGGGTCCTATACATGTCGGCAAAAAGTACGAATTTGGTCCGGGCCCTTCATCTAGAAATTTTGTTACACTTCGTGACTTGATACTGTAAGCTGGTGCTCTACGATTGTGATTCATCGGTGGACATAACTCGGGAGAGTATGCTCCAGGTCCTGGAACATGATCTGGCACTATAAGTGAAGTATTAATATTATTTTCCTAAGCCTCAAATTATAGAGGAAGGTACTTTTTTACACTTACTACTCCAAGCTTTCTTTCCTCTGATTGTATAAGCGGGTGGATTATCTGACCCAAATTTTGTTAAATTTCTGACATTGTAATGAGGACCAGGTCCTATTACAAATGTCTTTATACCAGTTCGAGCTCGTATACTATATGCTGGATTTCTATACCGAGATGGATCATGATCTTTGTAGCCAACTAACGTTGGTAATTTATAAACTGGACCAGGACCTGTGTATTCATAATTTATTATATTAAAGTACAATATATATATTATCATATTCCAAGTTCGCGGCCACTCCTTATGAGAATGAATCCTTAAATGAAGTTGTTCTATCACATTTTTGAATGAATTGAATTTAAAATGCCAAAAGTAGCATCTTTAAATATTTTTAAATTAAAATATTTAAAAAATGTTACGTGTTTTAGAGCAATTTTATTTATGGATTTATTTTCAGTAATAAAGAATCTGTAAGATTCACTTTGTTCCGTTCATGGTAATCTGCGTCGGATAGTATATTATCAAATAGTTTACCTTTTACAAGACAACTTAAGATTTTATTTTCTTTGCCCTCCATTTTTTTTTACTGTTGCTTGATGTATGTAAAATGCATAATCTATAAAAATGTAAAATCTATAAAAACCAGTTTAAAGTATAAAATTTTTATGACAGCAAATAATACATGAATAAAATTTGAAGGTCTTTAAATTTCAAGTTGATGTGTTCACATCAATCAAGGCCTATTATTATAAAAATGAAATAAAAATATTTTCTTGATTATAATATCGCTTGTTATGAATGTTGTCATCCATAATAGCTAATGATTTTACTCTCATTAATAAATCTTCTCTCCTTTTAGAATTTGTTTTATCTTTATTTCTATCCTTATTGACAATTTTATCTATACTAGAAATACTAGGTTTGCTATTATTTTTTTCCTTACTTCCTATAATACTAAATTCTAAAAATAAAGTAAGATTTATGCTAATTATATGTACAATTATGAGAAAAGAATAACAATATCGAAAGAGAGAGAGAGAGAGAGAGAGAGGTGGGGAAGGAAGTTTTTTTTTTGAAAAAATTATCTTAATGAAAAATTTCTTTATTACATAAAAGAAGTATCTAAACAATTAAAATTTCACGAAAATACAAGTTTTACATACATATTTAAACCATAGATGATACATTATATTTTGCAACAGAAAGAAACACAATTTCCTTATATTTCATGGGGATTTACAGGCCATGACAAGAGATAAATTGTATGACATAATATTTTATGTGATCAAAGATTTTATTAAAAAATATCAAGCTTCTTAATAAAGTTTATATTGTACACATTTATAACTAAAAATTATATAAATATGCCGAATAGGGGAGACAGCTCCGATGACCTTGATCTTGATATATATTATCAAGGTCATCGGCTGTCTCCCCTATATTACATACTAAATATAAATGTTCTATGAAAAATCGAAAATCAAAGTTTTTGTCAGATTTATTTACAAACTTACATATGTATTACCTAAGTTTAGAGTACCTACGTTCTGACTCATGTCACAATAATTTTTGTATGTTTATATAGGGATGGGTAATTCTTTTGCAACCAATACTAAGATTTGATCTATACTCAGACACCAATTTGCTATATTCTTGGAAACTTTGCACCAATTTTCGCCATGATGAGGTTCTGCGGCTATACATCTCTTTTTCACATCCTCTTGCTGCTCTTCTGTACCATTCAGTAATTCAAATTTATAAAAATATGCCCACGCATCGCCTAAATCTGAATCTATCTTCACTGTTCTATTGAACCAGTCTCTACATTTTGAAATCTTGTGCTCGCACCAAAATAATCTGTAATGGAAATATCCATACATTGTTTGTATTACTTTAAAAAGAATAAAAGAGGAGAGAGGGAAGGAGAGGAAAAGGAAGAAGAAACTAAATTATTTAGAATATAATCAACTTCTTTATATTCTATATAATGACTTTTAATATATTTATATTTTAAATAAACTTTAAAAGAACTTACTTTGATACCGCCAAAAGAACGTATGGATCATGTTCGCATTTTTTAGTAGCATCAATACTCTTCGTTTTCCGTTGAGGTCGAGGTTCCATAAAAATTGCTTCTGCCCAGAGCAGTCCGGATGTGGAACATTCCTGCAATGCCTTAGCCATTAATGTATTTGCCATATCGCGTGCACCACCATTTTTCAATTCATTTCGTATTGCTTCCAACCATAACTCCGCATTTTTAGGATTTTTAAGTCTCGCTTTTTCTAAAACTGATCGCGCTTTAGTTACTTGATTTTTCCTATGCTCCAATCGCGCCAACAGACACCACAAAGGTATCGAATTTGGACATTTCTTGATCTATAACGTATAAAAAGAAATACTTAATATTATTTGCATTCGCATTATATTATATATTGAAAAAAAATTGTTTTTACCGCTTGGTTATATGTACATATCGCTTTGTCTAAATATCCCTGCTGTTCTTCAATTTGACCTTTCATTAGCCACAGTTTGGGGAAGTCGTCAAAAGCTTCAAGAGCTTCCTGTAATAGATGCAACGCTGCATCAAGACTATTAAGAGCCCATTCCAACTTGGCGCTTTTCATCATCACTCTAGGCGTCGGAGCGGATGCTCTGGCTTTTGCCAATAAACGTCGCGCTCTCTCATATTCTGAGTTTTCAGATTCAAGCTTCACTGCTGCCAACCAAATTTCTTCGGAATTTGGATTAGCTTGAAACGCGAGAGATAAAATACCTCTGGCTGCTGGCACATCACCCTGAAAATAATAGAATTGGAAATAAAAAAGAAATGATATAAAAGAGAAACAAATTTTATAAATAACTATAAATTGTAGGAGTGAATCTACTTACAGCCAGCCACTTTGATTTTGCTCCCATCAGCCAAAGCACTTCGCTCTTAGGACAATGAGCGACTGCTCTTTGTAATAAAGTTTCCAAAGATTCCCGCGTACCATATGTCTTTTCAAAATAAGCTGCACGTAGCCAAATTGATTTCTTACTAGGAAATGTCGTTAATGCATAAGCATAAACAGCTCTGGCGCATTCCAATGCTCCTTGTTGGGCGCACTGCAAGCAATATATTTTTTAATATGAATATTAATTTTCGCATGTATATCGTTTATATTATATAGAAAATTACAAAATTATATAAAAAACTATTAGTCTTACAGCTTCAGCATCCTCCATCCAAGTATGTTTTCTGTCCTCTTCTTCTACTCCAAAACCGATAATAGCTTTAACAATAACTTGACAGCAGTGCACTGCTCCTGCTTTTTCAGCTTCCATAGCTTCTTTAAACCAATGTTCCCTATTAATCTCTACTCCATTTGCGCTTAATGAGGATATAGCGCGTTCGATAATCTTCTCCACCATATGTTTATTGCCATTTGCTTCTTCCAATTTTGCAGCAGTAGTCCAAATTTGTCTATCGGTTGGGATATTCTCCCTAGCTTTGTTTAAAACTTTTCTTGCATTATCGTAAGTTTCCAATCTAGCAAGAGCTAGCCACAAATCTACACTGGTCGGACAGCATTCAACTGCACGACTGAGTAAGATGCGCGCATCCTCGGGTTCTTCTAACTCGACAGCCGCTTTCCACAGTCGTACCGAATTTGGAATATGTTCCAATGCTTTTCGATACACTCTTCGCTTCGCTTTTACTTCCATTTCTAAATCCGCGGCCTTTATCCAAATTCTCACGGATGTCGGAATATGGCGCACCGATTGCGCTATTACTGCTTTCGCCGTGTCTGGTGGCTGCAGTCTCGCAGCTTCCAACCACAGATCTTCAGAAGTAGGATTCACTTCACATCCTTTCATTATTAAGTTTCTCGCTGCTTGAACCTTCCCAGTTACTTCTTCTAGACGCGCAGATGCGATCCACGCAGGAGGATGATTAGGATTAGTTTCTCTAACGGATTTTAACAATAATCTGGCTTTCTTTATGTCGCTAGAAAAATATAAAAAAAATTGTATAAAGATCCATTTAGAAAACTTTGAAATTAAATATTACTTTAAAGTCAAATATATACAAAATTATTTACTTACTTTATGTCACCACCATAAGTAGGAATCATGCTCTGTAAATCTGTAAGGTATCCCTTTGGATCAACCACAGTTTGACCTTCCACAGAATCAGAAACCTGATTTAATTTGACATTCATTAATGTGTTTCTGGCCTGTCCAATCTTTCTGAGATCAAGATCTCCCGTAGGAGTTAACATACCAGGTGTTGCCACACCTGGCATTATGGAAGCCAAACCGCTAGATGGATCAATGCTGGTAGATGTCTCTCCTCCTAAATTTCTTGCCAGAACAGAATCTGGTAATGGAGTAAATTTTTCTGCTCTTGGATTACGCTGTTTTCGATTTCTAGCATCTCCTACATCAGGAACGTTCTTCCATTCATCTTCAGTTACATTAACCAACTCTCTTTTTAGATCTGAGAATTGCTGTTGAATCTTGGGACGTTCTTGACGATAGCGTTCCAATTCTTCTCTAAGACGTTTCTCTCTATATTCTTTACGTTTCTCGTCCATTCGTTTGTCAATAGCCTCATAAATCGCATCTGCTTCTTCATCATCTTTATCATAAGGATCCTAGTACATTATTGGAATATTAGTGTCTATATCATTATTGAACAGGTCTATTCAATTCTTTACTTACTTTACTAAAAAGAGAACCTCCATATCCTGAAAATTCATCATAATTTGAATCGTTCAAGTCTTCTTCATCTTCCTCTTCTTCTTCCTTCTTTTTTGTACGTTTCGTGGGTGGAGCATGTCTGTCATCGCTATTATATTCAGAATAAATTTAAGATTAGAAGCGTTTCAAAATTTTGTTTTGAATTACGATTAATATCTCGTTTTGTAGAAAAGAGCGACTTTTTTCTGCCAGATTCTTTCGTTTCACGCAAAAATGCGTCGAATGAGACTAATTTCATCAAAATTGAAGTAGAGAAAAAAAAACATTCAAAATAATTAACCGGTAATTTATGTCTCACATTTTTTCAATTGTATAATGTAATTTTTACTTACGAAACGTCATTGGCATCTCGAGCGGGACCAATATCAGACCGTGTTGTAAATCCAGTTGCTCTAAATAGAAAAAAATAGTACATATACCAAGGTTGTTATAATTTATTATATCAATACATAGAGATAAATATATACAAATACTACATATTGGCTTAAAACTTACCCTCTACCAACACCAGCAACATATCCCAAGGGTGCCGGTACACCTAAAAAATGTTTTTTATTTCGCGTATTTAGCGAAACCGAGGAAACTGCCATTTTGGTGGTTATTAGGCTATGAACAACTGTGAGAGGCCATACGGTCTTCTTTTGATTGGCTCCCGCAGCCAGACCGGCTACCAACCAAAGACATATGTCTTTGCTACCAACCGATTAGTAGATGCGTTTTATTTCGCGTATTTAGCGAAACCGAGGAAACTGCCATTTTGGTGGTTATTAGGCTATGAACAGCTGTGAGAGGCCATACGGTCTTCTTTTGATTGGCTCCCGCAGCCAGACC